GGAAGGAGTGTGGAGCTGGGAGCACGAGGAGCTGGGAAACAGAGGGCACCCTCCTCTGCCACTTGCACGCTCAGCTCCCCGCCAGCCACCCACCCGACCACCCACCCGGCCAGATCCCCGGCTGCGGTCGCGTTGCGCGCAGAGCCTGCGGGTGGAAAATAATGCAGGCGCTGCAGAGCAGGGGAGGGAGCCGGGAGGGGACGCTCGGGAGGAGGGGGAAGGAGTGAGGAGCGGGGAGCGGGATCGCGTGGACCGAGCGCCCGGAGCACCCACCCCAGCGGCGGCCGGAGCCGGGCTGAGCGGCGCAGGGCCGGGAGCCGGAGTCTCAGCCCCGCAGCTCCTGCACGCACCACCCCCCCGCGCGCCGGGCGGAGAGTGCGGGGGCAAGTGGCAGCGTGCGTGCGTGAGTGGCAGTGGCTGGGGCTGTAGCAGCCGCCATCGGACGGCTCCAGGGGCACGGCTGCTCCGGGGCTCACGGGGGGCCGGGGCAGCTGCTGGTTGGCTCGCGCAACGCCCTCGTCTCCAATCCCGGGTGCCCGTCCTAATTTCCTGATCCAGGGAACCTGCCGCCGCTGCAGCTGTGCGCTCCCTACTGTCGCTCCTGTACCCTTGGCAGCCACCGACTGGAAATGCAGCCGTGGCCTTGAGCGCTGATGCAACTATTGCCGCTGTTGTCACAGTCTCCCGGTTTAGGGGGCTAGCAGGTCGGGGGGTCTGGGGTCATCAGGCATCTCTCCGCCTCTCTCTTCTGAACCCCTGGGAGGGGCTGGGCCTGGGAGGCCGGTCGGTAGCATCTTCCTGAGGGGCCTCCTTTCTCCAATCGGAAAGTGCTGAAGAGGAATGTGAACGCTGGGCTGCTCTGCTGCTGGGTTGGGGTTCCGTCTCCACATCACGCTGAGATGCCATTTTGCTAAAATTTAAATGTGTCTTTAAGTGAGAGAGAGCGAGAAGGAGAACGAGCTAGAGTGAAAGAACGAGAGCGCTCCCGCGCTTGTGGCTTGTCCTGTATAATAAAACAAGACTAAAATAACCCAGTCTGGGACGAGGAGGAGGGAAATTGCCAGCGCAGCTCTGCATTCTCTCATCAACCATTATAGTTAATTGCTAATTGCACAAAATGATAGTTTGAGGGACTGTAATTAAAAACTTAACCTTTTCTGGTTTGGGGGAAGGGGACCCGGGTAGGCTTATTCTTGGTATACTTTGTAATGTTCCATAACAAGGCTTTCAAAAGGGAAGAAGGAAGCAAAGGCCGTCCTCCCAGAAAGGATGGACTTTCTGTTCTGTGCCTGGCAGGACCTGAGCCTAAGATTTGCTTTTCTTGTGCTTCAGTTTTCTTGAATACTTTCCCCTTGGTTGAGATACCTTGTCTGTTCTGATCTAAGCATCTAACAAAAGCAGAAGGGTACACTGAGCTATTTCACCTTTTAGTATGGTTTTGTACAGGTTTCTTTTTAAAAGTTGCTGTATCTTGACCGAATCAAAGTTGACAATTTCATTAGTATTATGTCCTGGCTCTCTTCTCCTGGCATTATAATCTCCTCACCTTGTTCTCCTGGACATCAGACAGATGTTTATTTGAGAACTTTCTGTACCCCGGAAACAGATAATAATAACCAGTCAGGATATTTTCTGGGCCCTAAAATTTATCCCAATTGTGACTGATAAACCCAAAATGCAGATGAGGTCTTGCACCGTAGCTTCATTTGAATGCCATTTTGCATGACTTGTGCTTACATGATCCATACAAACTTCTGCAGCCACATACATGTTGCATGGGAAACAAAATCCATGCATTTTGCAGTGCAGATAGAGACAGGATTATTCACCTGACAGGTGTTGAGGTGGATGGTCAAACTTTTGGCCCCTGGAACTTCAGTGCCTTTGGTGTTTGGGGAGGCCATGGTCACTTTACAGAAGAAGAGGTGGGTGGGAACATAGATGATGTCAATATAAAAAGGCTCAGCATTAATGTACAGTTACATGCTTGTTTTTAATATTTTACTCAGACAGAAATGCACACTACAAGTGAAACATTGATATGGTACAATAAGACTTATCTTTGACTAACATGTATTATGCTTTCTAGCATAAATAAACTGTTGGTAAGTTTAGGGCTCTGTAATTAATCCTGTAGCTATTTTGTTTAAGTCATTTGACTCTGCCTCTGATTGGCTGTGCAACTTAAAAAAAAAATTACTGCTGTTTTTTGTGCCTGCCTTCTGACCTGTAAACTTCAAACAAAAGCAACCCACACTGGCTGTGGTGATGCCTGCCTTTGATTCCACCACTCAGGAGGGAGAGGCAGGCAGATCTCTGTGAGATCTATGCCAGCCTGGTCTACATAGCAGGGAGACCCTGTCTCAAAAAGAAATAAAACAAAAGCAACCCACAGAATATCCAAATTTTCCATAGTTTCAAGGACCAGCTGACTGCAGTGTCCATAACTAGCTGAAAAGAATTGTAAAGAGGAACACATGTGATTAACGTAGAAGGTGACCAATAACTAACTGAATAAACTGATAGTGAATGGAGATTGAGGTAGTTGAACTGACTGGGCTCAGAGAAGCTGATGCTGCTGGCTTCTAGAAGCCTTCAGAAAAATGCATCTGTAGTCCAACTTACTCCCACAATCCACCACATCTATTAGTTTTTTAAAACAACGTACGTGTTGAATAGCCCTGGGAAGCTGGTGTTACGAAAGGCCACCATAAAGAAATGCTTGTCTGAAGAGGCCAAGAATCTGGTCAGGATAAGACAGACATGTAGACAATTGCAGTTTGTATAGAGCACTATAACCCAGAGATGTTCAAGATGCTATGTGATTATAGGGATGGGGCTGGGAGCGTGGCTCAGTGGTAGACTGCTTGCATAAGGCTGCGCATTCCATCCTAAGCATCATAAAAGTGAATGAATGAAGAGTGAACGAGTGAACAGGATTACAGAGAAAAAGTGACTCAGTTGGCTGCAGGACGGGAGTATGTGAAAATCCTTTCCAAAGTGCTTGTCCCTGAGCTATGTTCAGCATTCTTAACTGGTAATTCATGTTTTGCTATGTTTGTGTGCTCGGTGAGACTGTACTTCCAGGTCCCCTTATTGTTGGGTGGGTTAAGAGACTGACTTTAACTAATTAATGAGCACAAGTTACAGGGTGTCACGTCCAGACTGGGATATTTAATTGCTTCTGTGAGGCTCTTTCTTTTTGTCTGCCTGATAACCAGAGCCATTCAAGACATGGCTGCTCCATTAGCCCAGATCTTTGACTCCTTGAGTAGTTAAAGACATGTCTCTCGCATATCTACGAATAAGAATGGTTTTAATACATTTTAAAGGGATCTCTATCTGTCTATCTGTCTGCCTGCCTGTCTATCTATCTATCTGAGACCATGAAGCTCACAAAAACTAAAGTATTTATCATTTGGCTTGTTAGAGAAAAAACTTGCCAACCCCTGACATAGAGTAAGAAATCAGTCTGTGTTGCCTTCATTTACTGAGATTTTGTTACCACCACATAATCTAGTATTAGCCTTACTGATGCATGGAGAAAGGAAGTAAGGATTTGGGGAGCTGAGGGAACTAAGGCCTAAAAGCAGCTTCTAGGAAGTACAGGGGATTCAGGATGACTCAAAGATAGGGCTCAAGGGGTCTAACAGTGGGAAGTGGGGCTGAAGAAGGGAGGCAAGGACTGGATTAGTAAGGTTGCATGGGTCACCCTAAGGCTTTGGAGTTTACTATATGAAGCACAGGGAGACTTTGTGACAGATTTTGATTAGAGGTCTGATATCCAGTTTCTTTTAAAAAGATCACCCGGCAATGGTATGTCACAGTAGAATAAGACTAGAGGGAAAAAAATAAAACAAAACCAGAAACTACAGATACCGATAGTGAGGGAGTGCGTTAAGGATGAAAGCAACAAGTGCTGCTCTCAGCACAGGCTCTCAGACGCCTCCCTGGACATCCTGCTTCTGTAGGTCTAGGGCAGAGCCTAGAAAATTGTATGGGTAACCCTATTCTGGTTGATTCCTAGGATTAATTGTGATGGGGAGAGGTGATATGATTATGTTTCATGCTACACATGTATGAAATCCTCAAAAATTAAATTTTTAAAAATTAAGAAAATGCGTTAAAAATAAACTACGTTTAGAGAATGACTTCGATGTGGTTTTTAATTGGGAAGTAGCTTTATTCTTTTGAAATCCCTGTAAATTTATTTGTGCAATTTCTCTGAAGTTCCTTTTAGGGCAGAGCCCATAGAAAATGCCAAGATTCGTTCCCCTCTGTCTCCTGCTCTTCAAAGCCCATAGATGAATGCAGATGGGCCTCAGAAGTCATCTTCAAACCAATTTGCACTGCTGATCCCTGTAGCCTCAGCAAGCCAGAAGTGAAAAGACCTGTCCCCTTCTGATGTATTGTGATACTAACTCCCAGACCTCCCTTGAATTTTTTATTGTGTAAGAGCCTAGTAAAACCACAGCTTTCACCTTCTTCTGAGGGTCTGGGTGCAGAGCCTGAATGATGGTTGATGATCTAAATCTATTCCATCAGAGTCACTTGAAAGGCTGGCTCTACCCCCAGAGTTTATGATTGTCCAGGTCCGGGTGTCAAGAATCTGAATTTCTGACAAGTTCTCCTTAGAATGTTGATGCTGCCAGTGGGTCAGGGAACAGGGTTTGAGAACCACTTCTGAAGCCATCTGTGCTGTGTCCTCCTTCAGCTATGCAATTGGTTCAGGGCATAAGCCTGTGGCATTCTCTAGCTGTACCCACTGAATGCTTAAACCCTAAGTGTGCTTCCCAAGCTACTTCAGTTGTGGTGAGGCTCAGGGACTTGGCCTGTTCAGAAAGGTACTTGATTCTAAATGATGTGATAGGTGGGCTAAGGCCAGAACTGCTTTTGCCATTTTGCCAATGTGAAAGAAGCCAATTTGGAGATGAACTGAAATTTATGTAATTTCATCACAATAATTACATTTTTGGACTATTAGGAGTTTTGTAGAAGGGTATACATAGGTGATGGATCTAGTGTTTTCTTACTTTGAAGTCCATATTATCTAACAGCTTGTGCTCCTTGAAGGACAGACAATGCTTCCTTCCAACTGACTCTTTAGGAAGGTTTGTCTAAGCATCTTTATATCGTGTTAGAAACGCATTCATGAGAAGTTCAAATGCTGAACATAGCATATCTAGAGACTAGAAGAGAGTCTAAGATTTTGAGCCTGCTTTTAGGCTCGTCCTCCTGTATCGGATTTAGGAAGAACAGGTAGTTTAGAACTACAGGAAAGTAGAGCAACTTATGGGACAGGAGATACCAGAGAAGAAGATGAGCACAGCGGAGGACCATCCTGGGATCTGCCAAGGGTTTATCTAAAGTTGTTAGTAAGCCACTGTAGGTTTTTGATCAA